GTCATAGAAGATTTTTATCATGGTAAATTCTAGCCTTTGTATTGACAAATTTACCCTTAAAAATGCCAGGTGTCAACTATAGAAAATGTTTATTTTTGTAATAACATCAGCCCCTTCAATTAATATAGATATATAGATAGATTAAGAGTAAATTACAAAGTAAAATTAGATAAATCACTTTTTTTTTACTATTATACAAATCACTCCTATTTATATTATACAATTTCTCTTGTATGAGAGATAAGTGTAATCTTTTAGACAAATCAAAAGTGATGAATATAATTAAGTTAAATAAAATATGGCATATTGTGGAGACAAATCTAAATAGTATAAGAGTCGATGTATCTTCATTAGTATAATTAGATTAAATGAATACTTTTATAAAATGCATCAATAATTGTAATAATATATCATTTAAAATACTTTTATACTTTATTAAATGAATAAAAAAATAATGAATATATATTGACTTGTATAATATTTGGACTTTATCTAGAATATACAATATTTTGTCTAACCTAATTATATTTATCACAATTTTTTGTTTAAAAGATTAGATTTATCTCTCTTCTACTTGGTAAAGTTATTTTGTATAATTTAATTAATTAATGACATGTAAAACATAATACTAGCAAATGATATAACTGCGCTAGCCCGTATTATTCTTTATACGGGACGATCTTGTATATATATGTTGTTATTTAAGCAATTTCATGAACGAAACCAAAATTAAAGGACACACCATTTCATTGAGATTCTTCTTATGTGTTCCTTGGCAATGACTGTTTATATAGGGAATAAGACAATAATTGGCCAAAATCCAATTGCTGTAAGTAGAAGAAAGAACTTATTAAAAAATAGTCTATATGCTTCAGTTCGTTTTGAACAATTTGAGAATTTGCAAAATTAAGAACTAAACCCAATTAAATCAGTCTCAAATTATAACTGGACTACCATTTTCAGTTTGATTTGTTATCACTGATTTCTCATTTCAGATCGAGACCATATACAACTCTAACCATAATAACTAAGATTAACTAGATTTGAAAGACACCGTTACAGTGATAAAATAAAAGACCACTAAGACTAAGACACATCGTCATTCTTCCCTTAGTTATATAAAAGAGTAAATTACACTCACACTCCATGAATTTTAATAAAATTACACTAACCACTCCCCCTTCTTTGACCTTACACCAACTACCCCTCCCTCCTACACAAATCACCCCTAGATTTATACATATATTACACTGACTACCCCTGCATGTTATAAAAGTGTAATATTTTAAAAAAAAATGTGTGATGAATGTAATTAAGTTAAAAAAAATATTGTATATTGTGTAACATTTCAAATAGTACAGAAGTGAGTGTTTCTTTATTATTTTTGTATCATTAAAAAATACATTAATAATTTCAAAAAAATGTTTAAATAACTTTTATATTATCTTTTAACAAGCTAAATAATGAAGACGCATTGACTCTTATATTATTTGAATTTCTCTATACAATATACAATATTTTGTTTAATTAATTACACACATCATATGTTTTTTGTTTAAAAAATTAGGGGTGGTTTGTGTAAGAACAAAAAAGTGATGGGTGGTTTATGTAATTTCACTAAAACTCAGGGGATGTGAGTGTAATTTACTCTATATAAAATTACATCAATTTCACTTTGTTGTTATGTTCTAATACATTTTGTACCCCTTATTCCGTTTGGTACGGATTATGCTTTTATTTTTAGTTTATAAGTTGTGAGAGTATAATCTGTTTATGTTTGGATACCTTAGCTGAAAACTGAATATAAATTAACTTGCTTTGTTTGGCAAAGGTAGAAAAATTGTTTTTTACATAGTAAATTACAAAAAAGTATGAAATTATTTGTTTATGTCATGATTATTTTGGTTGTTTTTACACTATTTTTAAATATACACTTTTTTTTTTAATATTTACCATCAAATATGTTTTTACTATAAATTTTTAATATTGCATAAAAAAGACTATGAAAATAGATTAAAATAAAATACAATATAAAAACCAACATCAATATTAAAAAAAATAATATAACACACAAATAAATAGAACTTGCTAAACTTGAATTACATAATTTAAAAAATAAATAATACACAAATATTAAGTTTTATACAAAAGTTCTGTGGTGTATGAGGTTTATACATAATTCACAAAAAAATTAATATTACATAACAAAGTTTTAGACATAACTTTCTGTTCATATATGTGTATAGATAAATGAAAGTGTTATGGTGAGTCATGTGGTTGGTGATGATAGAGGAAAAAATGAGAGTTATGAAGTTTAGTGGTGATTATGTGAAGAATTATGGTGTTTGGTGTAAGAGTAAAAATGAGGAGAAAGATAAAGTTATGATGAGGTAAAATGGAGAGTGGAAAATTGGAAAAAAAATAAGCTAATGAAAAATAAATCATCCCATGATTTTGGAGCTTATACTTTAGGCTTATATTTTCAGAAAAATACGGAGTTTATAAAATTAAATAAGTTTGCATTAAATATTTTTTACTACTTACTAAAGCTATTTAATAATTTTATTCTACAAATTCAAAAACATTACTATCAAACAAGTACCTAATTAAACAATAAATAATGAAGATTTTATTACAACAAAATATCATAAGTTAAAAACATCATCATCTAAGAACATAGGTTTTACGTTTTAATCGCAACAAAAGTGGATAAATAAGTTTAATTAAACAACTTAAGTTTTGTTACACGCTAACAAACAATAAATATAACTACAAATAAGTTGAAAGCAAAAAACTTTCTTTCATTCTAAGATGATATTATTTAGATATATTTTAAAAACTGATTGTTTCGACTACTTTGACCGATTTGATATATTTTATATTGATTTTGATGCATGACCACTCATATTGATTTTGCACCTCATATTTATGGGTCTAAATTTGTGTCCTTACCCTACATCAATGCCATATTTACTTGAAAGTAAGAAATTATCATATTTTATAGTAGTCTTATTTTACTCTCTATTATATCTTATTTTTATTTAAATGGCTCTTCCACTTTTATGTATGACTTAGTATACTAGGATGTAAGATCGATCAATAAATACACAAGTAGTCGATCATATTGTTATTTTTATTTAAATGGCTCTTCCACTTTTATGTATGACTTAGTATACTATTATATCTTATTTTTATTTAAATGGCTCTTCCATTTCAATTATTATCAATCAAAACAAATCATGGATGTAATGAACACACAATACGAAAGGGCTCTTTGTCTATATATATCTATATTAATTGAAGGGGCTGGGGAAATTACTAAAATAGACTTTCATATTGTTGACACCTGTTTTTTAAGCGTAAAACGGTCACTCAACAATAAAAACTAATAAATTTTTTCTTACTTTTATTATTACTATTTAGTCCTACAATCTCATATGTATATTTAAAAAATGTTTAGGATAATTCAGTCATTTGCTATGACAATTAATGCACACTTTCTAAAAGTAATGATGAAGGCATGTAAATTACCAAAAAATGGTTACTTTTTGAAACACACCATTTCTTACAATTGGCTACCCACTTTTTAGATGAACAGTTTTGTTCCATTTTCATGGGTCAATTGTGTCATTTATTTTATACTATATTCATCTCCCCTCTTAGTACGTTCCTTTCATTTCAAATCTCTCTCCATCATTCTATGTTCTATATCTCTCCATTTTGTCTCTCTCCATTTTTTTCAATAAGCATATGAGAGTCACCATTTATTAGTTCTATATTTTTTCACATTTTTTCACAGATATGATTTTTTTAGTTGTTCATTCAGAGATTCTTCATTCAAAGGTATAATCTTTTCATTCGATCTCCATCATTTTCTATTTTATCTCCCTCTCCATTTTAAAGATCTCTCTTTTCTCCATTTTTTCAAAATATGATACTCACCATTTATTTCTTCTACATTTTCTTCCACAGGTATGATTTTCTCAACAAATGGTTGGGTTCTTCGGTCATGAGTTTTTCATTTAAAGGTATAATCTTTCAATTATAATTTCTTGATATTAACTTGCTCAACTTAAAAATGTTATTATGTGTATGTCCTTATTCATATTTGCAAGTTGCATGTCCTTATTTTTGTGCATTTTACTCTATATCTTCATTACACGTTTTTTCCATCTTCATTTACACTTACAATATCTTACAATTTCATGATACATTTTTTCTCTCTTTTCCTTTCTATCATTCACACTAAAAAATGGTTGAATAATCCTTATCCAAAGTTTGAATATTTATAGAAGAAAATTATAATTTTTGATGTTATAAAAAAAATTGAATCTTTATAGAAGAAAGTTTGAATCTTTATAGAATAAATTTTGAATTTTTGACTTTATAGAATAAAGTTGGAATTTTTACATAAGAAAGTTGAATCTTTATGGAAGAAAGCTTGAATCTTTAACAAATCTTTGGGGATTTTCATATTGTTGGTGAGTCTCACTTAGTGTTTAAGATATCTTAGTCTTTGTAAAAAATAATGTTGTGTAATTTTTATTGATGAAATTTCCATTTTGTCTCTTTTACTACAACTCTATTCAACTTTATTGATGAATGAAACCAAAAGATTATTCTTCTACTTTATACAAATTCTATGTTTTGTGTGTTTTATTTTTTGTTGCTGAATTGTATTAGTTAGTATTAAGTTCTATGTTTCATGTCAAAAAAAATTTGTATTTGTCTAGAACAAAGATGAAATGATACTATATTTTTACCAATTTTTGTATTTCATATTGTAAGTAAGTACATTCCACCATTTTGATAGTTTGATTTAAATTTGTTTTTTTTTGTATGACACTTACCATTATTATTTAATTATTTTAGCTTCATGGTTTGATTGTTCTGGACTTTAGATATGAGTTTTGCTCATATGCTTATTGATTTTCATGCACATTGTGTTAGTAGTCTTTTTGATTTTTTGATTTTTAATATTTCCTCATCGTTTTGCATAGAGATATTGCGTGCAACTAAAAATGGCAAGAAGATGATGCTAAAATTCACTAAAGCATAGATTGAGTTTCTTAGATTGCCAATCTCAATTGATTTGTACAATGAGGTAACTTACATGGTTATGCTTTTGAACTTTGAATATAATTGTAATATCATTTTCTGAAACATAGTATTGTGGTAATTTTTACATATGGTAATTTTTAAAGTTTTGTCTAAGATATCTTATGTTTATAAAAATAGTATTGTGGTAATTTTTACATATGGGTCATGTCATCAAAGTATTGGTGTGTTGGTGGGATATTATCATTAATGAGAAAATGATTGTAATCAAATGCTTAAATCATGAGATATTATCACTAATGAGTAAATGATTTTTATTGAAGAAAATTTGAATCTTTACTAAATATTTGGGGGTTTCCATGTTATTGATGAGTCTGTCTTTTGTTTCTAACTTTTTGTTGCTTCCATTTGTACCATATGGAATATTTACATAAGAAAGTTTGAATTTTCATTGAAGAAAGTTTGAATTTTTAATAAACCTTTGGGGTTTACATGTGGTTGGTGACCCTCTCTTACTGTTTAAGATATCTTGGTCTTTGTAAAAAATAGTATTGTATTAATTTTTACATATGGGTCATGTCATCAAAATATTGGTGTCTTGGTGGGATATTATCACTAATGAGTAAATGATTGTAATCAGATTTTTAAATCATGAGATATTATCACTAATGAGTAAATGAATACCCATGGAAGAAAATTTTAATCTTTACTAAATCTTTGGAGGTTTCCATATTGTTGGTGAGCCTGTCTTTTTTGTTCTCAATTTTTTGTTGTTTCCATTTGTACCATATGGTTTATAGGTTACCATTTTGGAAAGTTTTTTTTCACTAACAAATAATGATCAAAATGAAACACCATTTACGTCTTAATAAAGTAATTTTCATTTTGTTTCTTTTACTACAACTCTATGTAACTTTATTGATGAATGGAACCAAAAGATTGTAATTCTACTTTATATAATCTATTCGTTCTGTGTTTTCTTTTTTTGTTGCTGAATTGTATTAGTTAGTATTAAGTTATATGTTTCATATCAAAGGAAATTTGCATTTGTATAGAACAATGATAGAATGATATAATATTTTTACTTATTTTTGTATTTTATATCATAAAAAATACATGTCACTATTTCGATAGTTTGATAATTCTGCACTCTAGATACAAATTTTGCTCATATGCTTATTGACTTTCATGCACATTGTGTCGGTAGTTGTTTTTTTATCTTTTTCATTTTCTATTTTAAATATTTCATCATCGTTTTGTATACAAGTATTGTCTACATCTAAAACTCGCAAGAAGTTGATGTTAAAATTCACTAAATCATGGATTAAGTTTCTTAGATTGCCACTCTCACTTGATTTGCACAAGGAGGCTTTTGAACTTTGAATATGATTGCAACATCATTTTCTGAAACATGTTATGAAAGTTTTATTTAAGATATCTTAGTGTTTGTAAAAATAATGTTGTGGTAATTTTTACATGTGGGTCATGTCATAAAAATATTGGTGATTGGTGAGATATTATAACCAATACGTAAATGACTCTAACCGGATGCTTAAATCATGAGATATTATCAAAGAACCTTATTTAGTGCATTTCTATCTGTACTTATTTTGTGCATCTATATCCTAAGTTTCTATCTTTTCTTCTAGCTTTCTCTAAGCCTGCTATTTTTTTTCCTTATTCTTCTTTAGCATAAGGTTTATAAGCAAAAGAAAAGATACAAAGTATTATACAGGTCATGGAAGCTCCAAAAGACAGAAGAGATAAGTCATCTACCAATAGACCAACTTCAGGGCTTAGAGTACAGTATAGATTCAAAACAATCTTAGGTTATGTTAAACTTTAATCCTTCCTGAACTTTCATTTACAGTTTTATTGATAGATTGAATTTTTTATTTTATTTTTTTGTTTAATGTCCATTTTTCGTTTTCCTATGACTCATAGTGACATATATATTTTGAATTGTTAACAGTGGAGTCAGTAACCATGGGTTTCCAACATTACATGTTAGCGTTAGGAACTATAGTCATGAGGGGTGGAAGTGGCGTGAGTCATTCACTATCCCATGTTTAAGACATTTTGCTACTTCAAATGTTCAATTTTTATATTAATTATATTGAAATTATCAGATATTGACAATTCTATATGATGTACATTTGTTTAATCCTTAGATAATTTTTGTTCTACTTATTTAGTTTTGTCACGTGGGGGTGATCAATGTCATTGAAACTTGATATTGTCTATAAACACTTTTTATTAACTAATCATTATTATAGATTTATGTTTTACAAAATTATCATTGGTATCAATATGGAGAAATAATTATGGGCACAAAATAAATAGTTAAGTTTATTTCATTATTTTATTTTAAGAGGGTGAAACTATTGTTGGCCCTCATATCATTTAGTCATTTGGTCATGGTTTTGTTGAATTCATAGAAACAAATGTAAAAAAAGTTTGCATTGCATATCCAGCAATTAAATATAGTAATTATATTTCATGTGTGATTTATCATCATTTTCATATTCATCTATGCCGATGATAAAATTTGACAACCCTTAAAAAGGTATATTTTGATTAACACAAGTAATGCATTCCTACAACCAAAATTTTAGCTAATGCAATCAACGTTTATTAGAGAAATAATTTAAAGTATAAAAATATTAAACTTCTCAATATATTGAAAATTAATAAGACTATTATTTTTTTGTAAAAGAAAGTCTATTATTTCAGATGTTTGTTGTCTAAATACTTGCATATCTACATATATGGTCTTCTGGAATATATCATTGTTAATTCAATGATATCTTACCATTGGACATGTATTTCAGACATTACACATGCCGAAATAGGGGTGGGTAAACCAGAACCAATTTCCTAAAGTAAGTCATCTAATATTTTGCATGTTCATGGTTTATTCAAAGTTTGACTATATTTATGACCACTATTAATAAATAGAATCAGATGAAACATGACATTCTATGCTCTAGAACAACATTCTGTTGTGGCTATTATATATAGATATAGATTTAGTGTCAATACCTATAGAGAAGAAATCCACTTACTTCAAGAGTAAGTGGAAAGAACCTCATCCACAACAAATTCTGGTCCTGAGTTGATATTATGATTATAGACTTAATTTAAGAGTAAGTGCTAATACAATTAGCAGAGAAATATGGGTCACATACTTACATGTCAAATTCTGTGATTGTGTTGAATTGTTTCTATTTATTTCACTATCAATGTTATTATAATGAAGAGATATTATTCATGTTATTAGTACAAGTATTTCCCATATTTAAACATTTGGAACATATGTAGTATATCCTGAGTTTATATTTTGATTATGTACTATTTTGTAAAGGTAGTACATTCTTGATTTTGTAAAGGTAGTTTACATATTCAAGAGTTGATATTTATTACATAGGTGTATTTAGTTCTGTATTAATACTCTCAGAAGTAATTTTTAATATTTACATATTATAGTCTTATTCTTTATTAAATTCGTGTAATACTCATTAACCTATTAGTTCACATAGAAAAACGTGCAGAATTGTGATTGATTAATATTTATGTATTATTAGTGCAAACTTTTTTTATACATTCACTATTCATGAATATTATTTTTATTTAAAAATCAATATTGACTAATACTTGAATAATAAATAACAAGTTGATTGTGAAAACTCTTACACCATCAATTCTCTAAACTACTTTCACTTTTTTTCTTTTCAGAAAGTTATTTTTTTCATCCTTTGAACAAATATTTTTATCTATAGTAAAATTAAATTAAATAAATATAACAAAAATGAATAAATTGTACATTCCTCTCGAAAATTAGCATTATTTTGAGGGACCTAGATCCAGAGGCCCAATATATGAATGTAAAATTAAATCAATTGATAAAGAAAAGATATCTACCCAAGATTGGTCCCAGCTGGGGGATAGATGTGTGGGCAAGTTTTATTTATGGTACATCACTACATCCCACGCCAACTACTCATATCAGTCGACAAAAGTCATCTCAATTGATGAAGACACAAGTATTTGTTTTTGTTTTTGTTTTTGTTTTTAATGGTGATAATGTTATTTTATTATATATAAAAAGATAAAAATATCTTACCATATTATTGTTTCTTTTGTTTTTATAGTATTTGTCTCTCTATTAAATCTTTACACAACAACAGCGGCATAGACCAAGGGGAACCATTGGTATTAATTTCATTTCACGTGCATATAGAAAAAAAAAGGCAAACTCTCAATTTGGCCACTTGCAATATAGAAATATGTAGGTGCTTTAATTAGTAGTACTGATCAGTTTAAAAGAAATATACAAATATGTGAACAGCATATTATATATATATATATATATAAAGTTAAATTTAAATGTTATTTAGTAAATTTCAACAGTTAAGAATATTATTTTTGAATTAGCATAAAATTCCTCCTGCTACTATTTCACCTATATTATGAAGCTTTGAGCAAAGAAAAAAAGCAAAACATATAAGTGTATAAGGCGTAGCTCATCACGTTAAAGCATCGAAAAAGCTATTTGCAAATAGGGATGCAGTGTTGTTAAATCACATGCATACAAATAGATGATGTATTATGCGTTAGTTTGTATTTTGGAAATATATATAAATGTAAATATTCAAAATTTCTATGTTTTAGTAATCCGAAAACTAACATAATGCAAAATATATATATATATATATATATATGAACACATTAAAAAAGCAATAAATAGTCATAGATAATGATATAGAATGTTGCATGATAATTTGTCCTAAGGTTTAGAAGTTTATTCTCATATGGTTCAAATATTTCTTCCTTACTCTGCAGATGCATCTGCAGAATCAGGACGACATTGTGTTGGGTTTCATTTTTATGCTTTTTGTATTATTTATTGAGATTTTTGTGAAGTGTGTTTTTATTAAATGCACGTTTTCCAAACTTTATTTATCTGATCTCACACCTTACGACCTTGCAAGTTGATCGGCCACTTGCATATATATATTTATTAGGGCATAAGAGATTTCTTTTCAATTGAATTTACAACTATCATCCAATTTGACTTGGGTAAAGATTGTAGAGGTTCTCTCTTCAATATTATTTTATTGTAATAAAATGATAAATGTGTCATAAAAAATTATAATATATTTTGTTTTTAAAACATTTGTCTCTTCACTACATAACTTACTCTTTGTAGAGTATCGTGATGCGTAAGGTCAATGTTCCACTCCCCTACAAAAATACACGTTATGGTTGGACAATATAGACATATAACCTATCGAATTGGGGGCAAGAAGGATAATCCCTACCCTCCTGAGCTAAGGACCAAAAAGATCGGGCAACACGTAGACAACGACAAGACAACACGTAGACAACGACAAGACAACACGAGCCCCACTCTACTCCACCTCGTTGTGCCACCTACACAAAGTTGACACCTCAAACTGTACAGCTTGGAGTCTTACTGCAAGCCGCAAGCTATTATGCACTAGCTAGGTCTACAATCTGGCTAGATATCCCATTTATAGAGTACAGATCTATCAAAACCATCTAACATGGAAAAGGCCCGACAAGCCATCTTGTCAACGAGACCAAGAGCATCTACAAGGAAATATCTCTCTCACTTCTCCACTATAAATAGGGGTTCTTCCCCTTAAGGAAATTTACTTACTCTTATTACTAATTCTTACTTACTTATTCTCTTATTCTATCTCTTGCTTATTACTCTATGATATTCTACATATCTCTATGATATATTGTCTTGATCATCAGAGAACCTTTTGAGGTACCTCACCCAACAGGTTAAAACATATACAGGCTATACTAAAAGATTCCAACAGATTCCTACCATCCAAATCCACCTCCTTAAGACCAAAGAACATTGGCACCGTCTGTGGTTTATCTACACATGGTGACTACCAACAAACAACAATGTACTTCTCACTCACAACAACATACTCAACATACCATCAACACAAACTCTGAAAGTTTCTCGGCAAGCGACACATCCCATTTCGCGCAAAAGAGGCACCTTTGACAAATCATGCAATCAGACAACCAGTTGCTGATAGGCGGAAGGAAAACCCCTACAATCTCATTCGATGATCGCGACTATGAGGGCATAATTTGCTGACACAACGACCCAATGGTCATTACGAAAAAACTAAACAACTTGAAGGTTGGACGAATATAGGTCGACTAGGGAAGCTTTGCTGACATTCTGTTCCAGGAGTCGTTCAACTAGATGGGTTTTGGAAGCATAGAATTGATACCCCATGAAGGCTAGATAATCAAATTTATAGGGCAAGGTATCACACCAAGAGGCTATGTCGAAGTCTACTAGTCGTCGATCAACCCCTCTCCTAGACAATGACAACGAAGTTTTTTATCATCGACACAATGTCACTATATAATGGGATCATCGGTCACTCGACTCTCAACACTATTGAAGTTGTGGTCTTAGCCCCATACCTCTGCATGAAGTTTTTGTCGATAGACTGTAGGGTTTGCATTGTTCGGGGAGATCAACATATTGCCTGAAGATGTTATAACCCAAGTCTGTAAACCAACTCATCACAAAAACAAAGAATACCTCTGACAAAGTAGTCGAAGGCCGTAAGCATGCTAGAGCTAGATGTCCGAGCAGAAGAGTGCGAGTTCTGACCACAACCAGAAGGGGAGAAAAACTCTCTACAACTCGAGCCATTAGTAGACAGTGTAGTATACCTTGGTTACACACATCCAACGGATCAACGACAAAGGCTGTTAACCTTTCTCCAGGCCAACAAAGACCTATTTACATGGACTACCTTAAACATGTCGGACATCGACTCATCCATCATATGCCACCGCTTGACTACTCAAACAGGCGCAAAATCGTTTGCCCATAAAAGTAGGAAGA